ACAGTAAATGAATCACAGTACATAAGAAGATAAATATCGAAGCCAATGGTTCTCGAACATCTGTAACATACAAGGGATTAGTAACAAGAGAGGGGACACAACAATATGCACAGTAAATAAATTAACTGGTTGTCAAATGCCTGAAACACACAATGGATTAGTAACAAGAGAAAGGACGAGTATGAGACGCACGCCCACCCTCCGCGACGGCTCACAAGAAAGTGAGGAAGCTAACGCCGTTATGTATTGGGCGTACGCAGGTTTGTTCCTGTTGAATTGTTTTTGCCAACTTGAACTACCTTCCTCCTTGAACGACCCAAACACCGGATGGTAAACGTCACTAGCGCGTTGGACCGACGGAGAGCACCGATACCGCGGCACGCTCTATCGTACTCTCTCGCTCGCACACCTCCCCCCATAGATCACCGAAATTCCTGGAACGCGTCAACGCTCTACCGCTCTCGCTCGCACGCCGTGACGTCACCCGATTCCCGGAATCCCGCGGCCACGAGATGGTTCATTAGGGTAGGGCATTCCCGCAAGGGAAATTGTAAGCCACCGACCAAAAAGTAGATTTGATAAACTATTTATGAAACTATATCTATTCTGAACTTATCTGTTGCAAATATACAAATGTAAGGCAAGACATAAAAACGAATAAAACAAGAACATTTAAAAAGTAACATTAATAAAATGTCCATTAATGATCAATTTCAAGTAAATTGTCTTGTAGTTAAGTGAAAAAATATATACTTTTCCGTTTCATGCTTCATGACTGTCATATTTATCCCTTAACCTTAAACTGATGCATCGGATATTTTTATGCCCGTCAAATCATATAGATACACGCAATATGAATGGAATATATAACACTTCATTTGTGCTAATAATACTCAGAATTCATGCTTTATCGGTAACGTCGGGTATTGCCACTAAAATGGTAAGGGGGCTTCTGACGCCCACGAAGTATTGGACAGAAAATTACATTGCATGTTAGGTCTATTCTTATATCTCGTCTGTGGTGGAACCTAACTGTAGTACCGACACATTAAAAAGTCTGCGATTTTAGCGAACTCTATGTTATGAGAACTGTAAATCAGCGGTGGATAGTGACACTCAAATGGAATAATGGTAACGTAACCCCAGAAAAGTAGACCGCAAAAATATACTGGATAAAATGTCTACTTCTATTACCTCGTCTGTGATTCTAGCACAGAACCATAACGGGTAGATTCCTACTATTATTGCAGAATCGGCCGCTTAGTGCAGCACATGCCCGGAAACAACGAAATTCCCAGCCGTGAGCACTCTTATTTCCCCTCTGATGTGACTAATGAATTACAGATTCCTTTACGAGATTCAATCTGTTGTAATTAAATACATGTCTATCATTTTAAATGTTATCCCAATCTATTTAAAATGTTACATTCGGTTTATTTGAACGGAACATGTTCATTTTTAGTTTATAATTTTTTCGTTACTACAGAACTGGTTATAATTTATAATACCGTTATTGTATAAATGAGCTGCAAACTGTTAAAAGAATTTACTTTATCTATTTTCTTAACTTATTTGAAACATAAAAAAAATTTCACTGGAGTTAACAAAAATCGATTATCCTACAATAAAACGTATCTATCGTTCCACATAAATCTGTTTCAAAATAAAAAGAAGTTGCCAGTCATAACGAGTACTTCACGATATTTAATCTTAAAAATTTTTATCCTAAAGGAGAAGCCTTAGTAACATTCGAACTTTGTTCGTATAAGTATCCTCTATGTACGCAGTAAATACTTTTCATAATACCTCATGTTTATAATTTGAATATATAATATTCTTTTTTAAATTAACTATTTCTACGATTTGAAATAACATCTTTTTCGCGCTACAAGGTCCCAATTCCAACGTCAGTGGTCAGGAAGTGACGTTCTTACAGCACAGTGTCCACGTAGCGCCTCAAATCGCAACGAACGTAGCTTTTCATACGTCAAACAACACTTCGTGAAACGTTCTCCAGCTGTACGCAACGTGAGTATTACGTTTTCATCAGTTATTTATTATAAACTACATAAAAATTCGTGAACTAGTCGTTAGACAATCAATATCTATTATAAATTATAACCTTTAAGTTGTTTTCTCTAATTAACAAGTTCGAAATTATATATTTACGTCGATTATATTCAGATGTTCTAATAATAAAAGGTTTACATATAACTGCACCTAGATCTACGTTTTATAGCTGTGACTTATTTTATTTTCAGTCCTACAAATACAATGGATCAGGTAAAGAAGCTTACAGAGCCTGGACGCCAGTTTGCTAAAGACAGTATTCGTCTTGTCAAGCGATGCACAAAGCCTGACCGGAAAGGTAAATCTCTATACTTTACACATACAAATTAGTGATAAAAATGTAAACACAGTCTTATTATATATTCGTTCTCAGAATTTCAAAAAATTGCTCTTGCCACAGCCATTGGTTTTTGTATAATGGGCTTTATAGGATTCTTTGTAAAGTTAATCCATATTCCAATTAATAACATCATTGTGTAAGTAAATTGCTTGGTTCTTATGTATACTAAATAATCTTTTTAGAACAATAATATTTACATTCCTATTTTATGTTTCAGGGGTTCGTAAGCTCACGTTGAATAGGTACAATTAAGGTTTAATAAGGCTATTTCCCTCATCCTCTCCATCATGTATCTTTATTTATAAAATAAATTTTATTTTGTTTTGAACTGATTGTGATTGAGTATGTGAATGTGTGTGTATGTATTATAATAATGAATTTTATAATAAAATAGATGCATAAGAGGTCATTGTTATTATTTATGATCCTAAAAACTAGTGTAAAAGAACGATGGCAGAATATATTAGTATCGAAGGCACTTTTATTTGAAGAATAAAATTTTTCCTTAGGTTACAACGATACAATTTTGTCAGCCATTTTTCTAGTTTAAACTCGATGTGTTTCTCCTAAGGAAAAATAGCTGTCGCATGGAAATCCATGGCCAGGTACTCAGTAATAAAAGACATGATAGTACGATTTTGTTACAACAAATAGAACCTTATATACTGATTTGCTAATTTGTTATTAAAATTACTCAGCAGTTATTCTCTAGAAAGACTTTTCAATACACTTTGCTAATAAAATGATGAACTTATGAGCCAGGCACTGTAATTAACAGTATCTGGGATTTTAATAATGGCAGTATGTATCAGATAGCAAACATAATTATCAAAATATACTCTACGTTCTTATAAGAACCGTCAATTTTGTCCATGACTTCTGACAAGCGTATGCCGCATGCATGATCGGAATATTTTTTAATTAGAAAATGCAATACTTTTGAACAGTCTGCACATTACATACGTGTAAGAAACAATTGGACAACAAGTGCTTACAATAAATTTCTTACGAATCAAGCTACTCCTTTCAAGATATCGATAACATTAGTAAGATGTTAACCATTTTCTGATTAATGTAAAGTGATCAATAAAAAAAAAACGATTCAGATAAATATAAACTCCATTTCAAATATACGTCTGACGCTATTGAACTCTGCGTTAGTAAATAGACGTAGATATTACATGATTAACATGTCTATTAAACTATTAAATACTCTTCTCAGGCAACTTAATAAAATTTATATAAAAAAAAAGCAAATATATAATATATGTAGCACCACACGTGTGTGACTGTTACGTGTCGACTTTTGTCCTGCACATTTACAAACATACTTAAAATTCTTAGATGGTCAACCCATTTATACGATATGTTAGCATTATTTGGGAGAGTTATACTTCCTTTCAAACAAAAGGATAATAAAATGTGCTATCATTTTTTTTGTAATGAATTCACCTCTGAACACCCACATTATGAAACTCTCTTCTGTATAGTCCGCCTTCAAAAATATTTCAGTAAATGTACATACTTCAATATTCACTGATCAGATTGGTAAAACTTTGACGAGTGTAGACAATATATAATCATCAAGTATAAATGGGCTAATCCTTTAAATCGCACATGGTGAATAAGAATAATAGAAGGAAGACTTTGTCTCACTTCCGTCTGACGAAGTGCAAGAAAAATCTTCTCCTTCGTTAGATCAATTGGCGGTAACATTCCGAAAATGAACAGCATTTTAGTCCGTGGACTCGAAGCGTTTCACTATTACACTAACTTTCGTAAATTACAAAGACACTTAAGCGTAGGCCCTAAAGTGCGTTTGCTGATCCCTCCATTAATATTCACGTAACGAAAAATACAGTCCCTTATTCTGTAGACTCTGATCAATGTTTCTGATGGTTCTTTGGCATTCCCTTGCTTATCACTGTCACTCAATGTACGCACAGCGTGATTCGACAATTAAAATTTTAATGATTACATGATCAGAGTTCCTAATCAATAGACTGTTGATGTTTATACGTTCATAAAACTGAATAAAGCCTTTCTCTAGTCTGTAAACAGGCTCTCAACAGATTGAACGAAATGAATAATCTACAAAGATGTGAATTTGCATGAACATCCGCAGTCTACACATTACATAGGCAGCATTAAACACCAGGAAGTGAATTTACAAGGCAAACGCACCGAGGGAGGGTAACTACCCACAGAAAAGTTGAGGTATGTCGTTCGGCTCATGTCATATTAATGAAACATTTAATCGTCAAGTAATTAAGTGTTCATTAACTATTAATGACGCGCGCGCGTGTCTCTATATATGTATATACATATGTGTGCGTGTCTGCGAGTTTAGATATACATATATATATATATATATCTGTATAAAATATACACATGTATATAATATTAAATATCATTCGATTATTCGTATAATTATAAGTATCCTTTGAACGCGTCCCGTAATCGCGTCACAATATGATAGTCGTAATCAATATCAGAAGACTTACATGCTGAGTTATATACTTTCTCTCACTGGTGAATCGAGAAACGGTCACAAAAAATAACGCAATATAAGAGGCTCTCTCTCTCTCTCTCTCTCTCTCTCTCTCTCTCTCTCTCTCTCTCTCTCGATTCTCACTTAAAGCAATGGAATGTCTTTGCAGGCTCCTTTTCGTCCACTTTGATTTTGAATTTCGGGGTTCCTGATGATTGTGTCTCGCGGTGATATTCGCCGCAAGTTGCAAGTAACATTTTCTACATTCGTCTGTATAACATTAAGACCTACGGAGAGACTTTAGAATTTCTGTGTTCAAGTAATATGATTTTACCAGGAACCTGTGAACACCAACATCAACAGATCATTATCTCGAGCACCGCAAGGACCATCCGTTTCTATCTTACGTTTATCGGTTACATTAATCATACCTTAGAATGTCACAGTACTTATGCTGAAGGAATTGATTACTTACGTTCAAGAAAGGGTTACTTTCAAGGAATGTCTTCAAGCGTTCTACCATGAACGTTTCGAGTATAAAGGGGCGTGTTAAAGGAAAAGAAGAAAGAACAAGATAGAAAGTAAAGAGGAAAGTGTGAAGAAAAGTGAAAAAGGAACGGGGGGGGGGGCGGGTGGCATCGCAATTATGGTGTAATAATAAACTTATGAGCTACAGACTTGCAATTGACAGAGGAGGGAAGGAGATCCAGGAGAGTTCGGTTTACCGGAACTGACAATGAAGGCCCAACAAGGATGACCACTCGCAACACTCTGCAAACGTATTCTGAACATTGTATCTCGACTGTCATCACAGATGAAGCATAAGATAGACCTAACGTTTTTTTGTTTTCAGATCCGCACAACCTGCCACGAGATTTTAGACCAATCTTACACTTCATCCTATTCGTTATCGATGCTCCTTTCTCCGATGTCTTCTTGGAATGCGTACAACCTTTTCTTTCACTCACGCAGGACGATCGGATCGTTCCCGAGGGGGAAAAGTCATTCCTTGCAGCTTCTCCGGCCGGTAAACCCGATCTCCTCAGAGATTGCCCTCCGCGAGATGGCGCAGCAGGGATTCACTTGCGACGAATAAAGCTCTACTACACCGTACAACCAGAGTCTGAGGTTGGCACGTATGAACTCTCCTGTCTGTAAAAGTCACCCTCGTACTCCTCCACCTTCACTGGGTAATCCGACACGCAGTTCTGTGGCTGGTTCAACGCAGGCGGTGGTTGCACAAAGTTGTCCTGATAACTGGGCAGATGCAACGGTTCCGCGAACTGTTGATAGGTGTTGTCCGCGCCGCCCTGTTTCAGACAGGTCGGCCCATGGAGGCTGAGCATGTCGACCAGCCTGCGCCTTTGCGTCTCGAGCTCCTGTATCTGTGACTTCAGGTCATGGTTCTGCGTTTCCAGGATCTCGGACTCTTGCACCAGGATCACCGTTTTCTCGCGTTTTTTCAACCGACACTTGGTGGCGGCGATTTTGTTCCTCTCGCGTCTTCTTCGACGCCTCTCCTCGTCCTCCGGCGTCAACTAAAACAAGAGATTTCAAGCGTTTTAGCGTTCTGTCCGCCTTTAAGGAACAATCACTAGCCTAGTAAACGTACTCGAACTTGTTAACACGATTACTGTAAGATATATGTATATTTATTAACACTAGAACTACCAAAGCAGTAAAAATTACTGGTTAGTACGCTCTTAGAATCATGATTAAAATGTTACAACAATGCATTTTCCCAGATCTTCCGGAAAATGAAGAAATTAGTTAATTTATAAAATTGTGTCGCTTCAAACGGTTGTCGTTTTTATGAATCTGATAAGTAACGCACACAGCTTGATTTATAATGGAAGCATTTCTTCTAGATACGATACTCGAATAATTCTCACACATAACAGGTCTATCATTCGTAATCGATTGTACCATACGCTCTATCATGCTAACGCCTGACTACCAACCCAGTCAGTCAAGGACAGCTATCCCCACCGGAAGTCAAGTAGGAAACCCGATGGTATCTCGCTTGAGAATCCCCACGTGAAAATCGATTAAACTTACTCCACCGCGGATGTTGTTGTTCCCGGACTCGTCCTCCTCCTCGTCGTCGGCGCTGCCGTCTTCCTTCTTGGTCTTCTTCTTGGTGTCGTCGCCGCTGCTGTTCGCCCGCCTCTTTGTTTGCAAAGTCAACTTCAGACCTGGAACGGTGATGCACGGATTAATAAGAGCCCAAGATTAAAAAAAACGAGAATACATATTATCAGTTTCTCGCGAAAAAGAGTGTTTCTACGCCGTTAAAACACTGAACCCCCCTGTTGGGACGGTTGAGCACCCAGAACCGGCTCCATTGGCGCGACGTATCAGTGACTTTGGGGTGGAGGAGAGGGGCAGAATTAGGCGCTAAGACGTGAACAAGGCACCGAGTCTCGGGGAATTCGCGAAGATTTCGTCGGATGATGGGACAAAGGGAAAAATAAAAGAAGAGTATAACATTAGTTCTCTCGCGACACCCAGCCGGGATTATATCAAGGCAACACCAACCCCCCTCCCTCGGACGGGTACCTTCTTTAATGAGCTGACTACGGGTGTGCTGAACACTCGGCGGGCTCGGCTCACCGCTGCTAATCGAGTCCGTACGGTCCCTGCTCTTCTCGTTCGTGTAATCCTCGAAGGGATTGGTCATGGCGATTAGGGAGTTTACGATTTCCGGTGTCCTCGGCGTGACCTCGGCCGCCGCGACACCGAGAAGACCCGCGGCAGCCCCTGGATTAGGATTCACGTTCACGTTCAGGTTGTACATGGTCGGTTATTACCATTTAACCTGGAACAAGAACAGAGAGCGTCTGACGGTGAATTGTATGCATGACACACTGGTGGGAGGGGGGGATTTTTGTTCGTGTTCTCCGCGTGTTCCGTGTCTTGGCTCGATTGTCTCGCGTACCACACAATTGATATATTACGCGTGTGTACTAGACGTGTGAAATACATAATCGGAGAGGATATATCTATGGCTGTAAGAAAGAACGTCGCATGGCACAATTTCGAGGAACTCCAGTTTATGCGTTAATCGAGTTGCAGAATATGGGGTTTATGTATTTATCGGGGAAACATGCATGAAAACCAATTTTATATCCTCCAAAAAAAATAATGTAATAATGTATAAAAGTTAATTTTTTACCGAAAGGATTGATATTTTCATTTTTCACTCCACTCGATAGGTACCATAAGCACCTAAAGTCTGGTATATTTTTTGTCTGAACACTCTGTGTTAACGAGTATAAATGAATCACTTCGGACATGCTTTCAATTTAGTAAACCCTGTAGTCAGAAAATTTCTCTTTGATCCCCCTAAAATCATCCGAGATGGGAATTCACGTGAACCTTGGCAGTCGACTAATGACAATATAATGTATACGGAACTGGTGTGGATCCAAAGCAACATGGCGACCGTAATGGTTCCAAGTACAAATTGTGCCCGCTTGATTGGTTCAAGTTAAACCGCACTTGGTTTGGTTTATTCATTAAACCATGTTGTCTCTCGTTGGTTATTTACAATTCACGATTTTATCTTCGGAGTAATATGTATCTAGAAGTGAACGTTGTTACATCGTAACCGAGGGCAATTTTCGCTGATAAACGAAACCTCAGCAGACTCTGCGGCCACGTTCTATCTGCATTCTCGGGGATTTTTGGACGCTGCGCGTTGATAGACCGTACACATCCTTGATTGCGGTTTACTACAGGAATAACATTGAACGCGATAAACTTCAAACCGATTGTAAATCGGAGCTATATGCTCGTGTTGTTCAAGGGGCTCCCTCCGTAACTCTCGCGAAACATTAATCATTTCGAAACAATAAGGCTGAATAAGGATCCACGGACAGATCTGCCGACATACCACGAAGAGAAACTGTATAAGGGAATGTTGCCAAATTAGGACCATTGTAAGAAATTCGCGCTATATACCATTACAAACCCAATTCTCCTGATCACATAAGAGTAACTATCGCCATGTTTTTTTAACGTATATGTAGAAAAATTAATGGAATCCAAAAGAATTATTGTTATTCGAATAAATCTATGCTACATCTTTAATTTGGTATTAACAAAAGTACAGAAATAGTAATAATTAAAATATACAATTTAACTTTTAAAGTGTTTTTCATCCTGCTGTATTCCCTTTATATTGTACGTTTCAGTTTCCGTGGAGCGAGAAGCTTATTGATACGTCCTTGATCCGGGGAAACAATGAGGAATTCAGGCTGAAACCGCCGACACTCCGATAACGTAACCGGAAGCTGGAGATTTCTATCTATCCCGTGGACTGTAACAGAGGTCTTCGTCGTTGGGGGTTACGCGGTTTCGCACCTGTGGTGGTTCAACGACACCAACGATCCCGAAACAATCCAGTTCACTGTACGATATTGTTCTCGGTAATATCAGTCTTGAACGACATCGATAAGGACCAATAGCAAATGATTCTAAGGCACTTCCTATGAGAATATGTACCAGCCATGTCTCCCGTTGCATTTTGACGCAACATTTGGCCTGGACATTAGCGTCAATGTGTTTTCCAAATTAGTTTCTATTTGATCATCGAAGGATTTATGATAGGGACTTATAGGCTGCGTGCGGTCCTAGAAGAAAGAACGTGAGACTGAACAGCCCCCAATAGTCACGCGATGCCTGGTGACCACTTTGGACCTGTCAGCTGTCATAGGACTCCTTTATTTACAAATCACAAAAGATAGATAAATGGCAAGCATCCCGATGCTGTCTTACCCTAAGGATAAAAAGACATTGTTCTTGTATGGGAAATGTGATTTCTGGCAAGAGGATTGCGTTGGGCCAGACAGCACTTCGTCCAGAATCCACCAGAAAAAGGGGCTTCCCAATGAAAATCAGCCCCACCAAAGTAACCCAAGAGAAAGTTCTGGATGAAAATCAAGGCCCCGATTTAAAAACATTTCGACACGCAGTCAAATTTCTGCATCAGTAATTCTACACGATCATCGATCATAACGACACAATACCAATCAGATTTCGACACACTGCTAGGAACAGTTCCTCCGTTTAAATCGTCAGAACCAAAAACGCGATTCCCTCTCTGCGCATTGCTTCAAGCTCGTCCAAGGAGCAAAGAAGCATCTTCCTCAGCATATAGGTCAGTGGGTACGGGTTCTCTCGTCGCGATCCCCATCGAGATCCGGTCCTCGGAAGTCGAATCTTTTTTTTTTTCTTCGCCATCTCTCTCTCTCTGCCCTCCCCCCTCCATGGAAAGTGTAACCAGGCCCATGGGGGGGCGGGGGGGGGAGGCAGGATTTGGCCGCGAGAGAGGCGTCCGGAGGAGGAACAGCAGAAGAAGGAACCATAGAAGGCTACGAAGGAGGAGCTGCAAGGGCATTAGGCCCCGAATACGGAACGATAAAATTCTTACGAAACGCGGACTCTCACTATCCTACACGCACTGAACACATTCGTGAAGACATACACACATATACATTCGTATTGGAAAGAGCAAGAAAGAGGTCCCCGTCGTGGTGGTTGGGTAACGAGCAACGGAGCCACGGCCGGAGAGAATTCGACCGCCGAAAACAGGCTCTCTCTGTGGCTCTAGGCCTGATGGAGGACGGGCGGAGGTTCTTTTTTAGAGGACAGAGGCCACCAGACACATACATACACATCGGACCCCACCAGGAACACCAGAATATGTATTTATTTCTGACGGGATATTGACAAGCTTTTAGCGGCCCTCCCACCGTCATAGACATTTCGCGCGAGTCCCGATCGTCTTTTAGCCTCCCTGCTGGACGATCGCCGATTTCCTGTGTACACTTCGAGAGAGAGAAACACGGTGAACGAAACTAGCATTTGCACAGTTTGGGTCCGTTCTATATGTGGGTCGTTTGAAAAGGTTCCTGGGAGTGGAATAGAAAGACGAGTTGTATATATCGTTTTTAAAGTGTTCCTACTTTTTCGATGTATACAGGATCAGAAAAAATGAATTTTAAATGTGCCAGAAGCAAAATTCGACAGCGGTATTTCAGAGATTTTATTAGATTGCCCATATTTTAATCTTCATCGTAGCCTATCTATTTTCGATCCCATGTCATCTGTTTTAAACAAATTATCTATATAAAACACGATCGATTATCGTCTAATAAATATTCAAATGTTCGAACAGGAGACACGTTTCCTGGCAGTGATTATAATTAGACGGATTTATAAACGCGTGAGTCGATCCGATCATACGAAGTGGACATTATTATCATGAATACACATACGTGATACCTGTTTTCTAGAGTCATAAATGATTTCTGTTCTCCATCGATTTTCTTTGAATCGAAGACTTCACTTACGTTCCTCGTTATTTCGACTAAAATCTTCAATTATCGATATCGTTTTCGTTTCCATTCGGTTCACTAGAAACTAAAACTATAAAAGATGAGGTTTCCTTTCCCTTCTGGGCGATCTATCGTAGATAACGATGTCCGACAGAGATCATTTAAAGCGCAATAAAAATACACGCTCGGAATTTCGGTCTGCTACGGACCTGGTCGATGAATCGGCCCCGCAAATCGCTTCATTATCGCCCGGGAACAACTGTGAACGGTGATAACGGGTTGATAATTGATCGTTCAGCTCAAGATACCCGGTTTCTTGGCCTCCGTCTAACGAGTATCTGGCAAACTGCACCGATCTCGAGTCCATCACCCTCGATATTCATGATCCTCTCGAGACAAGATCCGGCAGAGGTGCGATAAACGGGATGATATCGATCGATCGGGGAACAATAAGATCGTAAAGGCGAGCAACGGTGATAAACGGATTTCGGGAACACGTCGGTGCAAACAAATATCCTCTTTTTCTCTCCTCTGTCGTACGTTGTCTAGCTCTGGGATGTTTATTCCCGTTGATTGAACGGAAAGATGACGGGGGAGGATCGCCGGAGGAATCCAGCCGCGAATCGAGGCCACCGGGCGGAAGGAGGAAGATCGTTTAGATTTTGAAATTGAGCTACGAAAATAGCCGAGCGTGCGCGCGCGCGTGAACAAAATCGCGCGAGACAAAGATCGATTAAACCTGCCCTGGTTTTTACATTTTTCACGCGCTTTTGTCTCGTCGTAAAAACAGATCACCGTCAACGGTCTCTGTGCTTTGTATTATATTGCTCTAGTCTGGGTCGAATCCGGCACAAGTTATAATTCTTTTTTTTTCCTGTCTCCGCTCTGTTTTTTATCGTTTTAAAATATTTTTTATTATTTAGTAAATTTGTTTAATATTTAACTCAATTATTATTCCTTATTACATAAAAAAAAGGTTCAAGATTTCAAGTGCTTATGGTACTCACCGATTGGAGTAAAAAATGACTCATCAATATAGATCCTAAAATCAATCCTCTCGAAGACCAATACAGAAGTTTGTTTTCAAACTTGTTGAAATCCGTTAACGTTGCACCGAATGGATTGATCTTTTTCTTTTTGCACACCCTGTGCAATTCCTACGAAACGTTTGTGTAACAACAAAACTATGTCAACAATTCATCAAATCCTCCACAGTAACTATCCACTAATTTCTTTTTTTAAGCAGTATTTTTTAATCATGTCTTCAGAAGTTCACCGATTCTGGATCGTGGAAAAAACTGGGGTGGAGAATTGGATCGAAAAATCATTGAAGATTATAGGGGAACACATAATATTCGTGAACGTCGATAGGGTGCAATACACTGAACGTGGATATGTGCTCGTATAATCCGTGGATTATGTAAAGTTACACGGGGGAGCGGTGCAACAGATTGAAATAATAATCGGGCGGATCTTG